GAGCCTGGGGGTGCTAGGTCTGGGGGTGCGGAGCCTGGAGGTGCGGAGCCTGGGGGTACCGAGCCTGAGGGCGCTGGGTCTGCTCCTATGGCCGCAGGCGGTGTTTCGTCGAGGCGTGAGCCACTCTCTCCTCAGGAGCTGCGCGAGTGGTTTGCCCACCGCTGGAGACGTGCTACTAAGACTGGGGGTGCTGAGACTGGGGGTGCTGAGTCTGGGGTGCTGAGCCTGGGGTTGCTGAGCCTAGGGGTGCTGAGCCTGGGGGCTATAGGTCTGCTCGTGTGGCCGCCGGCGGTGCTTCGTCGAGGCGGGAGCTGCTCTCTCCACAGGAGCTGCACGAGTCGTTCTCCCGCCGCTGGAGACGTGCTGCTGAGACTGGGTGTGCTGCTTGGGCTACTGGAGTTGGTCCTGCTGGAGCTGCTGGTGGTGCTGGTGGTACTGGAGCTGGAGGTGCTAGGGGTGTTGGCGCTAGTGTTTCTACTAGCGCTGGTGCGTCTGGGGGTGCTGCTGAGACTGCTGGTGCTAACGGTCCTACTGAGGTTGGTGCTGCTAGAGCTGGAGCTGCTGGGGGTGTTGGCGCTGGCGGTGCTGCTAGCACTGGTGCTTCTGAGGGTAGTGGAGTTGGCGCTATTGGAGCTGGAGGTGCTGCTAGCGCTGGTGCTGCCGCTGTGGGTACCCGTGCTGTCCCTGCTGGTTCTAGAGGAGCTGCGCGGCCAAGGCCGTACTTCTTTCCGCTCCTGGAGCAGGTTCTTGGTCTACCGCCCTCTCCAGGTCCTGCTCCTCCCTTAGAGTGTCTACAGCCTGTCCAATCGCCGTTATCGTTATAGCCCGCCTCCCCTCTACCTGCTCCTTCTCCCTACACTGGTCCTACTGGAGGTCTTGCTGAGCGTCGTGAGCCTGCGTCTCGTCCTGCGTCGCGTGTTCGTGCTGCTCGCGCTAGTCGTCGTCCTGCGCGTTCGCGTCCTCCTGCGGTCCCCGGCACACTCTCGATGGTACTGCGCCTTTCTACTGCTTCTCTGCGTGTCCCGTTGCCGTCTCCTCCAGAGTCTGACTTCCTTCGTGCTGCTAGTCCTTTGGTCACGCGCCTTCTTGCTACTGTTGTGACCGACCCTTCCTTTGAGACCACTGCTGGGTTTGCCCTAGTTGCTGAGCTTGTCGACTTCGCTGCTCGCTGTCGTCTAGACTTCACTGCCAGTCTCGTTGCTGAGTCTGAGTTTGTGTGTCCTCCGTCCGTTGGGGGTGAGTGTGGTCTTAGCACGGACGTCCTTGAGGACAGGCACGAGGAGTTCTAGTGCTTTGCTGCTGCTTTGCCCCAACTCGTGTCCACGCTGATTGCCCCTGAGGGAGACCCGGATGCACCAGACATCCCGACTCCTCGATCGTACGCTGAGGCGATCAAGGGTCCCTACTCCTCTCAATGTCAGGCAGCCATGGACGCAGAGATGGCTTCTTGGAAGTCCACAGGCACCTACGTTGACGAGGTTCCCCCACCTGGGGCGAACATCGTCAATGGCATGTGGATTTTCAGGGTGAAGCGGCCGCCGGGTTCTTCGCTTGTCTTCAAGGCGCGTTACGTGGCTCGAGGCTTCAGTCACCGGCAGGGAGTTGACTACTTTCAGACCTTCTCTCCCACCCCGAAGATGACCACTCTTTGGGTGCTACTCCACATAGCCGCTCAGCGCGACTACGAGCTTCACTCTCTTGACTTCAGCACAGCTTTCCTGCAGGGCAGCCTGCACGAGGAGATCTGGCTGCGCTGCCCTCCTGGCTTCACTGGGTCGTTTCCTCCTAGTACCCAGTGGAGCCTCCGGCGGCCAGTCTACGGTCTCCGCCAGGCGCCCCGTGAGTGGCACGACACACCGAGGACTACACTTGCGGCTCTTGGGTTTGCTCCTTCTACAGCCGACCCGTCGCTGTTTCTGCGCACCGACACTTCTCTGCCGCCGTTCTACATCCTCGTGTACGTCAACGACTTGGTCTTTGCCACTGCTGACACTGCTGGACTCGCCCACGTGAAGTCCAAGCTACAGAAGAGACACACGTGCACAGACCTGGGTGAACTGCGCCGCTACCTTGGCTTGCAAATCACCCGGGACAGAGCACAGCGCACCATTACCCTGACTCAGTCACACATGGTGCAGCAGGTCCTTCAGCGCTTCGGCTTCACGTACTCCTCGCCTCAGGCCACTCCCCTGTCTACTCGCCACTCGTTCTCAGCTCTGCATTCGGATGAGCCTTTAGAGCTGAGTGGCCCGTACCCAGAGCTTGTTGGCTGCCTCATGTACCTGGTGACCTGCACATGACCTGACCTTGCATACCCTCTTAGCATCTTGGCATGCTATGTTGCTCCTATGAGATACCGACCAAAGCACATGGCTGCAGCGAAGAGGGTGTTGCGCTACGTGTGTAGTACGTCGGGCATGGGGCTAGGGCTTGGAGGGCGACGTCGAGTGGTCCTCACAGGTCACGCAGATGCTTCTTGGGCTGACGACCAGGCTCAGCAGCGGTCGTCACAGGGTTACACCTTCAGCCTTGGCTCCGGCTCTGTTTCGTGGCGGTCTATCTGCTTGTCTTCTATTCTCAGCTCCAGCTGTGAGGCTGAGATCTACGGAGGGGCCATGGCTGCACAGGAGCTACGCTGGCTCACCTACCTGCTGACTGATCTAGGAGAGGCGCCTCGTTCTCCTCCAGTTCTGTACGTAGACAACAAGGCCATGCTGGCCTTGTGTCGGGAGCACAGACTGGAGCACAGAACGAAGCACATTGCTCTCCGCTACTTCCTCGCTCGTGAGCTGCAGCAGCGTGGTCAGCTCCTCCTCACCTACGTGGCCTCTGAGGCCAACACTGCTGATATCTTCACCAAGGCCCTTCCGCCTTGTGATCATCAGCGCTTCTACACTTTGCTAGGTCTTGTGCCTACCTGGCCTCACTTGCTCACTTCTTGATCTTGTTTGTACTGTACTCTTTCTATACCTGCACTTGCTTGTTTACCTTGATACATATGATCTTGCATGTGAACTGGCCTTGTGGCCTTACTCTCGGCTCGGATTGTGTGGTGACTTTGTGATCCACCCTGAGCTTGCTTTGCTTTGCTTGACTGGTCTTGTGACCATTTGTTCTCCCCCACTTTGCGTATGGAGGTGTGTCAAAACATTATAGCTTATACATTTGTGTAGGCTGTAGTGAGGTAGCCCATAAGGGGTACAACCCAATTAGGGCTAGTACTTGTACCCAACTCTTTCATAGTTCAATCATTCTCTCTTTCCCATCTTCATAGCAAGCGCACTGCCGCACATGCGCCGCCCTGCCGATCCGCGCCCCCCTGCTGAGCCGCGCCGCCCTGCTGAGCTGCGCCGCCCTACCGAGTTGCGCTGCTACTGGTGCTACAGTTGCTAGGCTACTACTGCTTCTTCTGCTGTCATGGCTAGCCCTAATGTCCTTACCTTTGATGCTGAGGGTCGAGCATTCGATTACGAGGTCTAGGTCGATGATCTGCAGCTTTTCATGCAGTGTGACTCTAGGGACGGAGTCTCACTGTTTGATCACACGTCCGGCGTCTCTGTTGCACCTGCTGCCGATGCTGAAAGTGCAGTCCGCTCAAAGTGGACCACACGCAATGTTGCTGCTTGTCTTTCTGTTCGCAGTCACGTGCCGTCTGCTGAGCATGCACAATTTAGCCAGTACAAGAGTGCTAAGACTCTATACGATGCTGTTGTTGTGGGCTACTCCTCTCCTGCCACTTCTGCCCTTAGCCGCCTCATGTTGCCGTACCTGTTCCCTGACCTAGCCGCTTCTGACACTGTCGCTGACCTCATCACGCACCTCCGCACTAGTGACACCCGCTACCGCGCTGCGCTTCCTCCCAAGTTCTGCGCCACGAACCCCCCCCCCCCCCCCCCCCCCCCCCTATGTACATCACTCTCTACTACCTCGTCACCCGGCTCCCTGACTCCCTTCGCTCGGTCAGGGACCACTTCCCCTCCCTTTGCCCCATCACACTCGCTGTTGACCTCCTCGAGGAGCGCCTCCTTGCAGCTGAGAAGAATATAGTCGTTGTAGGAGCCTCTCGTGGTGACCCTTGTGCCCCTTTCTTTGAGTGGTGCTCCCCCGTTCCCCTTTTGCCCTCTGTTGCCTCTGTTGGTGCAACCCTACGGTTTGCACTCGGCTTGTTGTATGTGTGCGTGCATGTGTGTGTGCATGGAATGGAATGAGGGCATGAAATAAATATATATTTGATGCTCATAATATTGTGTGTATAATGGGTCATGATTTCGAGTGTGTGTGTGTCAAGTCTATAGCGAATTATCGCTAGTCCCGTTTAACGCGGTCATTTTGTGTGTCCCGCGCGGTTTCTATTTTGTCGTGCGCGGTTTCTATTTTGTCGCTTGTCGAACGTTCGGCGTGTCGCAGGTGTGTGCCGCAGACCCATCAAGAACTCAAGGATGAGTTTGTGATGAAGAACACGAGCCCTGGTGTCAATATTCAAGTGTTCGCGAAGCTCGCCAAAAGGGGTACACCTCAAGAAATTGAAGATAGTTACATTACTTTGTGTACTGTAACATTTCACTTGGTGTAGACCCTAGTGAAGGGTAGTTTCGAGACCCTTCGTGTTTGGGGACAGTGTGACACTGTTACACATCACTGTATCTAGGCTCTTGGGGTTTGTAAGAGCTGGGAGTCATTCCTAACTCGTAACTCTTTCCAACTCTTCAAAATTCGTGTTCTAAGACTATAGTGGCTGCCATAGTGCCGTTCATTCAAACTGATGCTATGCCGTCAATTCTTTATGAAATCGTGTGATCTAAATTTTCTATTGTAGGCGACGTTAAGGCGCTCTAGATCCAAGTTGAATGAAGTCATTTAGAGTTGTGAGCGGATCGCTATGAACGTTTGAAGCCGCTATGCAAAAGTCCGATTGTACACTCTATCTTCCGTTTTAGGCACATTGGAGCCTATTGTGCTTATAACAAGTGGTATCAGAGCCCCTTGGAGCAGCTACGACTATGGCTGGACCTGAAGAAAGGGGTGGCAGAGGTGCTGGAGGCAATGGAGAAGCCCAAGCACAAGGCCAAGCCCGTGATTCAGCCGTGGCACCCGTGCAACCAAGTGTTGGCCCATCTAGGGACGAGCCTAGAGTGTTTTTCCTTGACAAGTTCAACGGTGACAACTTTGCTGAGTGGTCCTTCAGAATGGAGAATGTGTTTAACCACTATGATCCGCTGGAGGTGATGGAAGGAATGAAGAAGCGCCCCGAGAACGACCCGGAAAAGAGCCCGTGGGTGCGGAAGAGCGCACAAGGCTACCTCCTACTTTGGCAAGCGTGGGGGAGCAGCCAGATTCGTCACATCAAGCCATTCCAGCGTGAACCTGAGAAGGGACCAAAGGCATGGGCTGCTCTCAAGGGTGTACACGCTCCTGCAACAGCGGCGGTAGCTGTGGTGTTGGAACGGCAAATGGCGACGCTACGAATTGAGGAAGATGAACCCGTGGAAGACGGGGTGCAGAAAGTCTTCGACTTATTGACGCGGCTTGAGGGAGCTGATCTGAATCACAGTGAGCTCCAGAAGAAGACCAAGTTGCTGGCCTTACTCCCGGAGTTGTGGTCCTCGCTCATAATCAACTTGAACTGTGATCTGCCCCATCTCTCGCTTGAAGACATGAAGCGCGCGATCCTTCAAGAGGACTTGGGGGAGGAAGATCTGGTGGCGGCAACTTCAGTGGAGGCCGCGGGAATGGCGGATACAGTAGCGACAACAAGAGCTACGGTCGCGGTCGTGGACGATTTGACGGCGAATGTCACTATTGTGGCAAGAGCGGACACATGTGGCGTGATTGCTTCAAGCTCCCTTATGGTTGGACCCCTGCTCAAGGCCAAGAGGGTAGAGGACCAGGAGGAGGGAGAGGAAGAGGCCGTGGAGGCCATTGCAGTCGCGGAGGTGGAGCCACGAACATGAAGAGTGGAGACAACGACAAGGACCCGAGCGACGATCGGTACCCTGGTCTATTCTACTTTGTGTCGACGCAAGTACCAGCTGGTCCTGAGAAGGATGAGGACCTTGAGGAGCCAGCAGCTGTGGGGAACGTGACCCTACACCCCCTGGACTATTGGGTGATTGACAGCGGCGCTACCTATAGCATGACACCTCGCCCCGACTCGCTCACCGAACTTGAGCCGTCACCGGTGAAGCATGTCACATCGGCCTTGGGGCAGCGAGCAGAGGTGAAAGGCATGGGCAAGGCCATGTTCAAGGGTGCTGATGGGAAGATGGTGGACCTAAAGAACGTGCTTTGGGTGCCCAGCCTTGCTGCGAACCTGATTTCCGTGCGGCGATTCGCAAAGGCCGGCATGGACACAAACTCGAAGGGAGCCAAGACCTACACCGCGAGGCTTGGCGAGCGGATTCTATGGGACCTTCACGAGGATAGAGATGTCTACAACAAGATGTGGCAGATCCCTGTGGTCCCTATGCCTAATGAGAGGCAAGTGGCAGCAAGCGTCAGCACCAAGGGTGAAGCGGTTGGTCGCGGCGATGGCGCGAACGGTCGCGTTAAGGAAAATGTGTCCAACAAGTGGAATCTTGGAGGAACCAGCAAGAAGAGTGAACCTAAGGAGAGTGATGCAGCAGCCAAGGAGCAGCACAAGGGTGAGGAGAACCCCAAGGCAATCTTCCCTTGTGAATGGGGGAGAGGAGGCCAATGATGCAGAGGAAGAAGAGGAGGAGGTGCAGCAAGTGAGCGAGCGTGCACCGTCACTCCCTTCCCGCACTATGAGTGCTCCACGGATTCGAGCCACACCGCAGCAACGCCAAGGCCTTCAAGTCCCTGCAGCTGAGGAGGAAGGAAGGGGGTAGAGGAGAGTTCAACCCCCTAATCGGCTGACCTATGATGCGCCGGGAAAGCAGGGCAAAACAGCCCTGGCTGGAGCGGCAATGAAGGTCGGAGACGACGAGGAGAGTGACTACGAGGAGTGTGCCTTCGCGTTCTTCTCTCCGGTGAAGATGCCGGGAGAACCAGCAACTCTCAAGAAGGCCTTGGAGAGTAGTGATGCTGAGGAGTGGAAGAAGGCAATGGAGAGTGAGCTGAAGAGCATTGAGGAGAACGACACGTTTGAGTTGGTGGAGCTACCGGAGGGGCGTAAGGCGATTACGTCCAAGTGGCTATTCAAGATCAAGTCCGACGCCGACGGCAAGATTGAGCGTTACAAGTCTAGGCTGGTGGCCAAGAGTTACCAGATTTATATGACATAGCTATTGTAGGCTATAGTGGGGTAGCACATATGGGGTACAGCTTTTCTAGGGTTTGTATTTGTACCCAACTTTCACTTAATCATTCCATTCTCGTTCTAACTTTCTCAGATGTCAGGATGTTATTGCATACATCACTTTATAACTGCCTGCAATGTAGACTTAGTGTAGTTATCTTGCTTGTTAGGTAGTGCACCTTGCTTCATTCTTTCATACTTGTACCCTTGAACCTATAGTGAAATCTCAATACTCTCGACACTTCCCTTCACCCTCGAACTTCACCACTAAGTCACCTAAACTACCATGGCTTCTAAGCCTACCAAACGCTAGTATCTCAACAGTAGGGTCCACATAATACCCGGTACCGGTTTAATTTCTGACTCTCCCTTAATAAAGGCTTTACACCCACGAGAAGTAATATTCTTAGTTGTCGGGGTATACGGCTGGAGTTTACTGGTCGGTGCAGGGTCTTGTTTCGCGGATCCTCCATTAGTCTCGGCGATTTCCCCTGGTGCCGGCTGGTTGTGACGTTTTAAATTTGCGCCACCATATTCTTCTTCTTCCGCCCTCTCCGAAGTTGCCACGTTGTCGGTTTTCTGCTTCGGGGGTGCCGCACTGTTCTTGTCCTTCAGCTCCGCACACCTTCTCTTCATTTTCCAACACGCCAAGATAAGATGTCCTGTAGCACCGCAAACTTTGCACGTCTCATTATTTGGTAGCCGCTACTCCACATCGCCCTCGTCGTTCTCCATCGGGTTGGCATTTGTGGGTGGTGCCATTCGCACCATGCCACTAGTTGGCTTGTTGCGTCGTGTTCCGTAGCTACTACGTGTTGCACCATTACCCTGACTCCGTCACACATGGTGCAGCAGGTCCTTCAGCGCTTCGTCCTCACGTACTCCTCGCCTCAGGCCACTCCTCAAAGACGGGGGTGCGAGGGTCACCACGAGAGGCTCCTAGAGCGACTATGCTCTTCTCCATCGCAAGGAGGGCCTTCTAGAGAAGGTCAACGGTGAGAGTGGTGGGGCAAACAGAGAGGAAGTGGTCCTTGACTACGCGAAGAGAGTCAGGGAGCCGGGTGACTATGAAGTAGAGGGTGATGTACATGGGGGGGGGTTCTTGGCGCAGAACTCAGCAGGAAGCGCAGCGCGGTAGCGAGTGTCAAGAGTGCGGAGGTGCGTAATGAGGTCAGCAACAGTCGGAAAGGCAGCAAGGTGAGGGAAGAGGAACGGTAGCATTCGACGGCTCAGTGCAGTAGTGGCAGGGGAAGAGTAGCGTGCAACTATAGCGTCGTACAAGGTCTGAGAACTCTTGTACTGGCTAAAGTGCGCACGCTCAGTGGTCGGTAAGTGGCGGCGAACAGCAAGGCGAGCAGCAGCATCATGTGTGGCCCACTGTGAGCAAACAGTGGCGTCAGCATCAGCAGCAGGGGCAGGGGAGGCACCAGAAGTGAGGTCAAACAGGGAGAGGCCGTTTGCCCTATCGCACTGCAGAAAAGGCTGCAGATCATCTACCCAGACCTCAAATTCCACAGCCCGACCCTCAGCGTCAAAGGTGAGAACGCTAGGGGAAGCCATAACAGCTGTAGGTAGGCAGTGAGGGCAGTGAGGCAGGGCAGTGCAGTGGCAGAGAATGGGCTCTTACCAGGTAGGAGGGGCGATCGGGCTGCTCTGCGTGTGGGCTGTCGGGCGGCTCGGCTGCAGGGCGGCTCGGCTGCAGGGCGGCTCGGCTGCTGGGCGGGTCGGCTGCACGGTGCTGGGTGGCTCGGCCGTCGGGCGGCTCGGCTGCTGGGTTGCTCGGCTGCTTGGCGGCTCGGCGGTCGGGCGGCTCGGCCCTCGGGCGGCTCGGCTGCCTGGTGGCTTGGTCGCTGGGCTGCTCGGGCGGTCGAGCGGCTCAGCTGCTCGGCACTGCGGGCGCTGGGCGGCGGGGTCGCAGATGGCGGCTGGCCGTAGCGGGGCCGACCGGGCCTAAGTGGGGCCGACAGGGCCGTAGCGGAGCCGTAGCGGGGCCGTAGCAGGGCCGTAGCGGGGCCTAAGCGGGGCTGACGGGGCCTAAGTGGGGCCGACGGGGCCTTAGCGGGGCCGTAGCTCGGTCGTAGCGGGGCCGACGGGGCCGAAGTGGGGCCGACGGGGCCGTAGCGGGGCCTAAGCGGGGCCGACGGGGCCTTAGCGGGGCCTAAGCGGGGTCGTAACGGGGCCGACGGGGCCTAAGCGGGGCCGTAACGGGGCCGACGGGGCCGTAGCGGGGCCGTAGCGGGCGGCTCAAGGGGCAGTAAGGGCGGCCAAAAGGGGCCACTAAGGTGGCTCGGGGCGCCACTCGGGTTAAGAGCTAAGCGCGCTCCGGGCAGAGAAGGAAAAAAATATACGTGGTGGGCCCTAAGCAGTATTCCCACTCGGGAACCTGCTCGATACCATGACGAGAAGTGAGAATGGATGAATGAACTATGAAAGAGTTGGGTACAAGTACTAACCCTAACTGGGTTGTACCCCATATGGGCTACCCCACTACAGCCTACACAAATGTATAAGCTATAATGTTCTGACAGAAACTCGATCGAACGGTCGAAACTCCAACCTTCCCACCAGTAAATCTGATTGGTGTTCGAAAACCGAATTGAGGTGGACTTAGAAAGATTGCACGGAACTGGTTTTACATACCCGTATCGGCACTTTCATCTTTGCCCCCGCGGTTTTTAAAGGCCGGAATTAAGCGGTTGAAGACCTCGCGTCTAAACCCGCTCTGATTACCAAGTATGAGGATCTAGGATCGAGCTCAGGAAAGAGAATTGTAATTGAATTGAATTGAATGAATGATCACTTGGGTACAACACGAGGCTATATATAGGCTCAACACAAGGCCCCGTAACCAGGTGTTACGCGAAGGTTCCGCGGGCTGCGAAGCGTCCCGAACAGATCCTTCCTGAATTCGGGAGAAGGCAATTTGGTGGCAACCGAACAGCCAGAATTCGGTGCACGTAACCTAGCTCGGTACTATAACAATAATAAAATATAGGAAAGCACCTAGCCTAGGAAATTAAGCAATTCATGCATGCATATAATTATCCTATGCCTGAAAGAGCATGATAAAGTAAAGGCAAGCAAGCATAGCTGGCATAAGCCGTCGTACTCTCACAAGGTCCTTCAGCGCTTCAGCATCACTTGGTCCTCGCCACAGACCACTCTTCTGGCTACAGGTCACTCGCTCTCACCTCCACCTTCGGACGAGTCCGTAGAGCCGAGTGGTCCGTACCCAGAGCTAGTGGGCTGCCTCATGTACCTGATGACTTGCACTTGTCCTGACCTTGCGTACCCTCTTGGCCTTGTGGCACGCTACGTGGCTCCTGCTAGGCATCGAAAGGTACACTTCGATGCTGCGAAGAGGGTGTTGCGCTACTTGTGTAGTACGTCGAGCATGGGGTTCGTGCTTGGAGGGCGGAGTCCAGTTGTCCTTACTGGGCACTCAGACGCTTCTTGGGTTGACAACCTGGCTACGCAGTGGTCGTCGCAGGGTTACACCTTCAGCCTTGGCTCTGGCTCTATTTCTTGGCGGCCTACACGCTCGTCTTCAGTTCTCAGCTCCAGTTGTGAGGCTGAGATCTACGCCATAGCCATGGCTGCATAGGAGTTACGCTGGCTCACCTGCCTGCTGACCGACTTGGGAGAGAGGCCTTGTTCTCCTCCAGTTCTGTACGTCGACAACAAGGCTGCCATTGCCTTGTGTCAGGACCACAGACTGGAGCACAGAACAAAGCACATTGCTCTGCGTTACTACCTTGCTTGAGAGTTGCAGCACCGTGGTCAGCTTCGTGTCCCTCACGTGCCCACCTGAGCGAACACGGCTGATGTGTTCACCAAGGCCCTTCCGGCTGGTGATCATGAGTGCTTCTGCACTGCTCCAGGCGTGGTGCCTACGTTTCCTCACTTGTTGTAGACTTTGGTTGTACAGTGATATTTTTATTTCTACCTGCATGTTTAATCTTGCTAGGTAGTGATCACTGTACAGTTGTTGTTGCATATATACCTTTGCATGTGAACTGGCCTTGTGGCACTTTGCTTGTGCTCGGAGTGTGTGGTGACGTTGTGATCTACCCTAAGCTTGCTGTGCTTTTCTTGACTGGTTATGTGATTGCTTGTTCTCCCCCGCTTTTCCTATTGGGGTGTGTCAAACTATATCTGTGCTAGTTCTATATAGGCTATAGTAGGGTAGCCCATATGAGGTACAACCCAATGTTAAGGTTAGTACCTGTACCCACAAGTCATTCAATGCTGTCATTCCTGCTTGCTATCTTGACAGTACGAAGTCCAGGAGTCAGAAGAATCGAGTCGACGCAGCAACCGTCTGACCAAGGCCGATGCAGGCATAAACATTTGAAATGGAAAGAGCGAGAACAGGTTTGAAACGGCTTCCCGCGCCGCACAGTTTGAATTCGCTGCAATAAGGGAATGTACCCCTTACA